GCATCTGGAAAGCCTTTACAGACTACATCGGAGGACCAGTTTGGAATCAAGAAACAGAGCTAAGGGATTACCTTCTACAATGGTGGGTCACTTTTAAAAAAACATCTCTCCGTGGTCTACTCAAGCTAATCCTTCCTGGATGTATACTATGGATCTTATGGAAGACTTACAATAGATGCATTTATGAGGATCACAAACCAACAAAGGTGGGGATTATCATTGAAATCCAAAAACTAATTCAACACTGGTTTTGGTCGAATAAAAAAGCTCAGGCCATTGCTATTAAGGAAGAGATTGAAGCATTGAACCTCAAACCCTACCTTGCCAGAGAACATTGCAAAGAAAGAAGACACACCTGTTAGTCTCTTCTTCAACTGATCGAACGAGATGTGGGGTTAGAAGTTGACGCAGAGGGATAGAAGAATTCCTTCCTCTTTTGTCTCATCTACCTTTACTTCTTATTTTGTTGTTTTTGGCTTTTGCTTTCGGGGCTTCGGTATAGTCCTCCCTGAACTCGTATTCTTTCTTACTTTCGGGGCTCTGGTCTAGTCCTCCCCGAACGTGTACTTACTTGACTTTAATGATATTGGTAAGGGCGGCCTGGACCTTACCCCACTGACTTTGGTGGAGTTTTCGGGCTTTTATATATATATATATATATATATAAGATGGAGAAGTTAGAGAGAAGGAAGAGCTTTCCAGCCTCTCTTCCGGCCATATTTCCGGCAGGCAGTAAGCTCCCAGAGAAGAACCAGTCCCCCAGATTTGTCAAACACTTCTCAGACCTTTTTAAGCAATCTAACACCCATGCAGTTGGAAAAGTTGAAGGCTTTTATAACTCATGCCCATCAGTGAGTTTCAGTCAAGAGGAAGAGATGCATTTGGCGAGTAAAATGCATCACTCTGCTGTGGGCAGTCCCATTTATCCTGTTTGGGTCTCTTTTGAAAAGCTCCGTCTTCACCTCATTGACTTCAAGTCTCTTTTCACCATTAGTTCATTATTGGGGAGACCTGTAAAAATGGATGATTTCACAGTCAGTAGAGATAAGAGGAAAAGTGCAAGGGTGTGTGTTGAGATAGATTTATCCATCCCCCCTCCCCCAAAATTCACATCAGACTTGGTGCTCGGGACATATTTACCAATTGTGGGTATGAAGATAGACCTCTGTACTGCACCCTCTGCAAAAAGCTTGGTCACAAGCATGATTTTCATGCTCTAAACCAACACCATTTACCCACCGGAAAAGCTCCCTTCGGCAAGGGTAAGACGGGCATATCTCCTGAGTATCAGAATGGATGGGTGGAAATCAAGAGCAAAAAGACAAATGGAAACAGGGCACCCAATCAGTCAGAGAACAATAATAATACAGTCAGACATGGCCCCACCATCTTTGAATGGAAAAGAAAGGATATGTGAACCAAAACACCAATAATTTCATGTTGCTGGATCTACTGGATAAGTATGCTGGAAAATTACCATGTAATGTGGAGAGTGAATTATTGGGTGACAAGGTTAATCTTACCAATCCCTCCGACTCCCCACAGCAAGAGTACAACCCAATTTTTCCATCCCTTTCTGAAGCAAAAGCCTTTGCTTCCAAAAAAATGCCTGTTACTTCCAAAACTACAGTAAGTACTGGAATGGCAAAAGATCAGCTAAGGAAAGGTTCATTTGATGACTGTCTTCATAATCACTCACCTGAGAAAGGACTTGCCATGCTTATTGAGGAAATCCATGATACCAATATGCAGGAGATGGTGCCAGATACCAGAGATTATGGATACCACTCTGAGGGTGGAAAAAGTAGTGATATTCTTGATCAATCTGCATTAACTCTCAGGGCCTTCCAAATACCTGCATCCAACTCAATCTCAAAAACAGTCCCCAAAAAAACACATCCAAGAGGATAGGCCCTTCTACAAGTATGATCACCAGAAGCCACAAAGGGCATAAAGACTTCATATTTCATAGCCTTAAATGATTTTGCTATTTTAACACGTATGTGGAGTTAGGTCCTCTCTCAAAAGGATCAAGGTGTTGAATAAAAATCATAGCTTCTGGATCAAGATGTTGAATAAAAATCATAGCTTCTGTTTCCTTGCAGTTATTGAACCCATCGTTTCAGCTGACCAGATTCATTTCTACAGCAAGCAAATGGGTTTTTCTAATTTCCTTGGCTCTACATCTAATAAAATATGGGTGTTTTGGCATGAGAAAGCCCTATGTTTCAACAACAGCTCTCAAGGGGACCAATTTCTCAACTGTGATTTCACTATTAATGACACAAAGGAGAAAATAAGAATTGCCACTGTATATGGTAAGCACTCTGGCTCAGAAAGGAGGAAACTGTGGCAGGATCTGAATTCACTCCAATCACCTGCATGTCAGTGGGTAGTTGGAGGGGATTTCAACATTATAGCAGAATGGTCAGAACACAAAGGCATGAACCTCCCCAAGCAATTATGGATGATTTCAAAGAGTGCATGGAATCCTGTGATCTCACTACCCCCCAACTATAGGTTCTGCCTTCACTTGGTCTGGGGAAGGAAGAATGGTATGGTCTACAGAAGGCTAGACAGAGTGTTGGTGAACAACAAAATTCTGGTTCATTATGATGATATCTCTGTAAAGCACATCAGCAAAGCTACTTCTGACCATAAACCCCTACTTCTACAATGCACTAAAGAAGACAAAGGAGGGCCAAAACCATTCAGATTCATTAAATCTTGGACCAAACACCCTACTTTCCATAACTTGGTTCATGATTTCTGGAGCAAAAATCACAATTATGGAGGTATGATTGGTCTGGGCCTCAAACTCAAGGGCCTTAAATAAGTCTTAAAGAAGTGGAACATTGAAACTTTTGGAAATATTTTCTCTAACCTTATGGAAGCTGAAGATAAAGCCAGGTTTGCTCAGGATGAATATGAGAAAGACCCCAGCCCTTCAAAGAGGGAAGAAGACAACAAATGCAGAGCTCAGCTTATAATTGCCACTAATAATTAATTGAGCTTCTAGAAACAGAAGGCTAATATCAAATGGATTTCAGAAGGAGACTGCAAAAGGAGTTAGCTATCCAAGATTAGAACTATCCAAGATATTGATGGCAGGAGTGTCAATGACATGGACTTTATAAAGGAGTTAGCTATTGAACATTTTTCAAATCTCTTTAGCTCTAGCAATCATATTAATATGGAGCCCATCTTAGAACTCCTGGAGAATTTGGTAACACAGGCAGATAATGAGAATATCTGCAAATTACCTCTGGAAGATGAGATTAGAGAGGCTGTTTGGTCTCTCAACCCTGGGAGTGCCCCCGGTCCAGATGGCTTCAATGGATGCTTCTTCAGAACCTGCTGGAACACAATCAAAAAGGATGTCATCAGTGCTACTCAGAAATTTTTCATCGGGATTCCTGTGCCTAAATGTTATGGGAGTACCTTCTTAAGTCTTATTCCTAAAACAGATAACCCCAAGACATTCAATGACTACAGACCCATCTCCTTATCCACTTTTATGAGAAAGATCAACAACAGAATTCTTGCTGACAGAATTCATCTTCTACTTCCCAAAATTATCTCCCCTGAACAGACTGGTTTCAAAAAGGAATAGGAGTGGATGAACAGATTCTTTTGGTGGAGGAAATGGTCCACAAGCTGGATTACAAGGTTAGAGGGGGTAATATCATCCTAAAGATTGATATGGCTAAGGCATTTGATAAACTGGAGTGGCAATACATTCAAGGAGTTCTAGGCAAAGTGGGCTTCTCTTCTCAAGCAAAACACCTATTAATGGCAAATCTTAACTCTACATACTTATCTCTACTGATTAATGGCAGTCCAACAGGATTCTTCTAAATGAAAAGAGGGTCAAGCAAGGGGACCCCCTCTCTCCTCTGCTATTTATCATAGCCAATGAAGGTTTGTCTAGGGCTCTGAAATTCTATATGTCCACAGGTTATATTACAAACTTCAACACTGCAAGAGGGAAACTGATCAGCCATTTGGCCTATGCAGATGATGTTGTCATTTTTTGTAATAGTCAAAGCAACAACTTGATCAAAGTTAAGGAGATCCTCAAGAAATACCAAGAAGCATCAGGCCAAGAGATTAATTATAATAAGAGCAGATTCTATTGTGGTAAAGGACTTAACACAGATACAACTCTACAGATGGAAAGAATTCTGGGCATGAAAAAAGACACACTACCTTTCAAGTACTTGGGAACCCCAATATGTAAAGGGATGCTTAAGAAAGGGGACTGTGGACATCTAATCTCTCACTTTAGCAACTACATTGAGAAATGGTACAGCAAGACGACCCTCAGTCAGATGGGGAGATTAATTCTTATTAAACATGTCTTGTCTACCATTCCTCTCCACTACATGGCAGTCCACTCTTTACCCAAATCAGTCATAAACAAGCTCCAACAGATGATGGCAAATTTCTTTTGGGGACACACCAATAACAATAAGAGATACCACTGGACAAAATGGGAGAACATTTGCCTACCCAAGGAAGAAGGAGGACTGGGAATCAGAGACTTGGAGGAGCTGCAGTTTGCCTACTCTATCAAACTTTGGTGGAACTTCAGATTCAACAACAACAATTGGGCCCAATTCATGAGAGCAAAATACAGTACTCAGAACTTCTCTGAGAAACTAACTGATTCCCCCCATCAGAAAAAGGATTTGCAGAATTAACGACTCAGCTGAAGAATTCATGGGAGACATCATACCTTACCAAGAAGATGAAGATGAAATAGAGGTCGTCCCAACCTCCATAAAGGAAGCCTATAATCACTGCGGAAACCACACAACTCTGCAAATCAGTGATAAATTCAACTTGAACAAATTGCAGCTACCTAAGATTCAGCTCTTTCTTTGGAAAGTTAACAACAACATCCTCCCTTTTCCTGAAAATACTAGCAAATTCCACAATAGCTATCCCTCCCAATGCCCTACATGCCTACAAAATGATGGACATATGAATCACTGCCTTCTTCAATGCCCCCCAAATACAGAAGATATGGGAAGATATGAGACTAATTTTTGATGGCCCTAAAATCAAAACAGGTATCACCCTCAAGCAACACATTTTGGAGTGGAATCTCAAATCACAACATGGCACGCTTAAAGACAACATGAGAATAATTCTTCCTGGAATTATAGCTTGGTCAATTTGGAAACACTACGCAGCTATAATGTTCGGAAATGAGGAAATAAACTTACCTCTTATCAAGAGGAACATCAAGTTGGACCTATCTAACTGGTGTTGGAAATTCAGAAAAAAGGGCTGGATGATTCAAGATAAGAACCTCACTGATCAAGGATTCCAATCTTTCGCCTTGGAAGGTACCTTCATTCGCAAATGAGCAGGAATGGAGAAAGAGAAACCTCGGCCCTAGGATTTGCTGCCATTGGAGATTGTATCCATTGCCTGCGATTAAAGATGGCTATCCCACGTTTCATTCCTGAAATATGCCTTTTATTTTTCATGTCTTTAATTTCTACTTTCGGGGCAAGGTCTTGTCCTCCTCGAACGTGCGTTACTTTTGTACTCTTCCTTCTTTTCTGATCTCTTTTAATAAAAATTTTATTTTATATATATATATATATATATATATATATATATATATATATATATATATATATATATATATATATATATATATATATATATATATATATATATAAAAGTTTGGTTCAAATAAGAATAAAATCTAATGAAAGAAATAAGAATCCTTTGCAACCGTTAGATCTGATCCAATTTGTAGTACGCATCTATTTCAAGTCATGGGCATTTCTGGCTTTTCATATTTTTTATCAAATTTCTCCCTGATCTCATTCTATCCGATCCATATCTTCTCCCTAAAATCTGCTCTCCATTATTTGGGGCTTTCATTTCTTCATTTACTTCCGTTTCTCTATTACCACACTGAGATGTTTAACGATCTCAATTTTTTATGAACAATTTCGTTTATTAATATGTTTCCGATGCTCCATCTGCAAGTCTGCAATTGAGAGGTTTTAATTATTATTATTATTATTATTATCTGACTACAATAGGCATTTGTTAGGGGTGAAACGGGGATCTTATTAAGTTGATAATTTAGTGGCGGATTTGCGGAGGAAAATGGAAGGGAAATAGTGGGCAAAAGTATGGATTGTGTTTTAGGAGTTCTTTTTGGTATTTTATGGAAGAAAAGAATAGGGTTAAGAAGGAGAATTGGAGGGATATGAAATGGAAGAAAAATCAGGGATGGATAAAACCAAGTTGGTGTTAAGAGATATTACACACTCTTATCCTAACTTGGGGTTTGAATCTAGAATTTAATTAAGATATGACACACTTAATCAAATATCTAGAACCTAAAACTCACACTTAAGATAACCACTCTTAAGATATAGATTTAGGAATTTAAATAGCAAACACAACAAGTGTATTACTAAATGGAAAATGGAATTACAATGTGAGTCTCACAAAAAGGCCTAAGGCCGAAATAAATACACACACATAGGGGGGAAACTTCCCTGAAACATCCACTCACAAATCACAAGAATAATATCCATTTGTTTATGTTTTCTTAATGGAATGAAATCAGGGATTTGGTCTTTGATTTTCATG